ACGGGGATTCGAACCCTCAGATTGCGAGTCGAGCGCCCTAACTACCTGGCTATGCCGGGCCACTCTTGTTATAAAAGCAGCATACCTGAAAAAAATAACTTCACAAACTTGCGAGATGGATCGTTTATTCAATTAAATAACCCACACCAAGTCTGTAATTTGCTTCTTTGTTCGAGTAGTTCTATAAAGTATGTTATAATTCTATATATGAAGATTTAAATCATTAGATCAAATTCAGCAAACTTAAAAATGGGGTTACTCAGGCTTAGTTATGCACTCGAAAATAATATGGACCAAATTTTTTCAGCGTTAAACCGCCAGGTATGACATACGGAAACACATAATCATACAAGGTAGACCTTATAAGTGCATTACGTTAATTAACTCAAACATTAATGAGACAGGTAAAACAGCAGTTAATTACGTGTCATGATATCACATCCAATACATCATGAGCTACGTCTTACCTTTCAACTCTACGCGGTTACGATACCATTTTAGCTGAGAGTGCGGCTTACTTTGATGAGCATAGCATGTCAGAGAAATCCGTTCGGCCTCTCGTACCTCTAGCACACTGCCATTCGAGCGATGACGGATTTCAACTCTCCGTGGCGGAACTATTGAAATTAATGATATAACATTGGATTACACAGACGTGCATTATAATGATTAAAATTTTTTTAAGCTCTCTAGATAAGCTAATAAACGTTGCCCTGATAGTAAAAAGCTAACAAAGGAGATTTGTTTTAAAGGCGATAATTTCTAGTAATAATTATGTAATGGTATATAGCATAGAAGTAAGACTTAAACTGGTGGTTTTCAATCAGAAAATGTAAATAAATGAATAACAATAACTTATGAAGAGAAAGTTATTAATAATTACATCATATATTTATTAGTGCAAAAAACATCAATATTAAAAACCTTCATCAAGGAACATGTGGTTTATTCATAATACATAAGTTTCAGTGAATACTTTTAAAAATTGTCAAGCATGATCTTGATGTTTGTAACACTTTTACATTTTTACATATTCTGAATTCGATATTTGAGTGCTTACGAATTCTTTAGATAAAGAATTACTTCAATAATGTAATTCGATATAAAGAAGCACACTTTACCACAGAGACATTGTTCAACAATACGCTAAACTTCTATTTGAGTGCATACGAATTCTTTAGATAAAGAATTACTTCAACAATTTAATTTGATATAAAAAAGCACACTTTACCACAGAGACATTGTTCAACAATACGCTAAACTTCTATTTGAGTGCATACCAATTCTTTAGATAAAGAATTACTTCAACAATTTAAATTGATATAAAAAAAACACACTTAACCACAGAGACATTGTTCAACAATACGCAATAGCATATTAACCTATATTTAATTTATTTTTTGTCAACATAATTAAACGTTATCATTCCAAGGCCAACAGGTCAGTCAAACTGTAAATTTAGTAAAAATCTTAAACGCGTTCCTAATAATGAGACGGAGAATGAAAAGTAAGGGTAAATATGTAATATCATAATACGTTTTTTACAGGCTGAGAAATTATGTTTCTAGCTTCGCTAAAACTCAGAATAGTAACCTAACTATGACAAAAGTGAAGGAACTGTTTAGCCTTAAGAATACGTATAAGTTTGACTTTAATATCCGTATCTCTCTCTCTATATATATATATATATTTATATGACATGTATATACATAGATTACTATGAAGCTCTTAGCATGTAGAATTAAAAACATTATTTATATTATTAATAACAAAACAAAATTATTTGTTTTCTCTCGACATATTCTCAACTTTATATCTCTATGTTATAAATCTACAGAGTTGCCTTCTTGATATGTTACAAAATTAATGTTACAAGGTTGTAAATATAAGGAGTTAGCTTTCTGGTATATTAATAAACCATCCTAACTATGTAGTAAATACGTGTAAATAACTTACCCAAAACTGTTAAATTCGCTTGACTTCTGATTGGACTATTCCCTGGTGCTGGGCCAACCTGGCAACATTAATAGCAACATTATGACGCACAAAAACATAGTATGTATATAAAGATAATTATATTTTTCTAGAATAAAAATACTAAAATTTAAATCAAATTAAAAAAAAAGAAACGTGCATAAGAGTTGAATCTTTAATTTAATTATGAAAAAATGTAAAAATCATTAACTACCAATTCATTGTTTTTTACTGTGGCAGCCTTAAAGCTTTTGAGTGACCTTTTGTATGATGTAGCCTATGAAGGAAGTACTTAAATATTTGATCAACATTCGGGTCAAGAGATTTATATGTGAGCCAGTTTTGATGTGAATATTTTAGGAAGGCTTCCTTACAATACGGTCGACCACCAACGCAAAATGACTATTGTTGTTAAGAGTTGTTGATGTTAATTCAGGAACTGGTAAAGTTTTTTATGTTAATTCAGAAACTGGTAGTTTTTGATGTTAATTCAGTAAGTAGTAAAGTTTTTGATGTTAATTCAGGAACTGGTAAAGTTTTTGATGTTAATTCAGGAACTGGTAAAGTTTTTGGTGTTAATTCAGGAACTGGTAAAGTTGTTGATGTTAATTCAGGAACTGGTAAAGCTTTTTTATGTTAATTCAGAAACTGGTAGTTTTTTGATGTTAATTCAGTAAGTAGTAATAGTTTTTTATATTAGTTCAGGAACTGGTAAAGTTTTTGATGTTAATTCAGGAACCGGTAAAGTTTCTGATGTTAATTTAGGAACTGGTAAAGTTTTTGATGTTAATTCAGGAACTGGTAAAATTTTTTATGTTAATTCAGAAACTGGTAGTTTTTGATGTTAATTCAGTAAATAGTAATGTTTTTTGATGTTAATTCAAGAACTGGTAAAGTTTTTGATGTTAATTCAAAAAGTGGTAAAGTTTGATGTTAATTCAGTATGTGGTAAAACAATAATTTCAAATACTATTTTTCAGAAGATACGTTTCGTTTTCCAACGCTTGGTCCGTTTGTTATTATAAGAACTTCATCTAACCTGACACTGATATTCCCCTTCATCTCTGAGTTGAGCATCTGAAACTCTCAAGTTGTAGATCCCATTCTTTGAATCAATAACCATAACGTAACGTGGGTAGCCAGGAATGTCGGGATCGTAGCCTAACGAAAAAACACAAAGATGAAGAAGCGCGTCACATGATCATTTTCAGCATTATTTTGTAGAGCTCTATGCTTACTCCAATTTGTGAACATCAACAAATCTATAAAGGTAAATAAAAACGGAAACAAGTATATTGCCATAAGAGCAGTCTTATGTCATTTTCCTCTTCAAGCACATATACAAAATATACAAATAAAACCAGAAAACATTCTATAAGTGTATGGTATTTTTCGCTACATATTTCCTATATATATCCTATTCCCTAATTTCAAATGTGTTTTTGTATTCTATATATTACTTACCCCCGCTGTGTCTAATAGTGTAGCAGTAAGACAAAGAGCTTATACCCTTACAAGTTGGGGATCGATCCCTTTGGCGGACGTAGCGCAGATGGCACAATGCAAAACGTTGCAATAAAAAAAACAATATTTTTATTATGGGTTCATTAATCTACGTAATAAAAAATAAACATACGTTAATAAAGGTAAAAGAAAGTGGGCTAAAATTAAATAAATTAAAACGTCTCTTATATTCCACTTCTCTGTATGTTACTGAGTAAGAAACAAACAAATGGAACAGAAAGCACCAAACATTGAGACGTTGTGGGCACTGTTAGTCTGGGCTCACTTTCTTATGGAGATCAATATAGTAGTTGTTTGTGTGGGGTACTTTATACAAACCTAATACGGCACATCGTTTCGTTGCTGAGTTTCATACACTTGTGTTAAATACCTGCGTGTTATATCTCAATTGTTTAATTTAAAATAAACCTATTATCTGATTAATTTGCTACTGAAGAAAAACCTAAACCTATCATATAAATAAACACTAATAGTGTAGATCCGTATATTTTTAACACTTTACAATATATACGCATTGAACTGCTTCCCTCATTCCGTCCTAGCGATATAATCAAAGTTTTGGTTACCCAAGTAGGAAGAGTATGAGTTTACGTTGTTTAGGTTCTTATCTTTTATTCGACTTGTTACCACAAAATATTACTGTTCTTGTTTTAGGAATATCACACTACTGTTAGAAAATGTATTATAAAAGAACGAAAAAGTAAGCATAAAAAATAAGTTGTATCGCTAAGGTGCAACATATACAAAACAATATTCTATAAACAGAAATTGACTATTATGATTTCCAAAAAAGAAAACGAGTGAAGAGTTAAATTTGAGAGGGTTAAACCACATTTGTTCCAAAATACTTTTCAATCCCGTTTAAAGATATTAATATGTTTACACATAATTTAGCAGTAAAATAAAGGGTGCAAGCTGCTGCCAACCTAAGTGTCTATTAGTGACAACGGAAGCTCACGAGTGTAAAGCAAAACACTCAACTAGGCTTAGATCTCCCTCCCGAAAAAAAGATGATATCCCTTCTTCTCTTGAAATTATACATTCCAAACTGAAAGTTGACCTTAAACAGTAAACATCGTTTGAACTGCATATTAATCACACCACTGTATTCACTACAATGTTGAGAGTTCGATGTACTAATTAGTATCACAACCTCTATGTGTCAACCTGTTATATGCTTTATTTATTTCTGATCAATGAAATATATTACAATCATAATCACATACGTTAAATTTCATATTAGGGATTTTAGTTACTGAGGACATACACAGATATTTTCGACAGTTAAACAATAAGGTAAAAGAACAGAGATAACAATGCTCTTTTTTATAGTATTTTATCTAAGTAAATATATAAACAATATGGATTGAACTAATGAATTTTAATAAATTCAGTTGTAACTGTTAGCTCAAACTTTGATAGATACATTCAGTTTACTTGGATGGTGTGAAGTCGCTGAAAACAAAACTACTAGAGTGAAGTAATTTTGAATAGGATTATAAGTTTCAAAAATGTTTAGGAATATTAATGTGTAATACTGTAATATATCTAATATTTTGTAGACTAGCTAAACAAGGAAATACAATCATCAATAAATATAATCATATTGTAGGTAATGACATCCAGAATTGTTTTATGTTTTTAAAATATCTTCAACTTCAGTCGTATTTAATGATATCTCCACAGTTTAGCAGCGAGCGTTTTGTATAACTGTAAAAAACAACAGCTAAATACAGCAAATGTTTCATTTAAAATACTCGGAATAATGAGACACTTATTCACGCTTAAAAGATAAACAATCCGTTTTGAAAATTGAAAAGTAACTTAAAATAGTTTTTTTTTATTATTCTATATAGCAAAAATAAACAGGACTAATTACTGGCAACACGAAACAGTTTTGCGTTTTATTTTATATTTGCCTGTAGAACGGTCCGTGTGGCTTAATGACATCTTTAAAACGCACATAAGATACTACTATATATATATAAAAAAAAACACCAAGTTCGAGTTCAGTGATCTTGCGTTTCCATTCTGTATGGTCCATAAACGATCGCTTTTAGTTGATAATGTAGCGTATGCTTATGTTCTCGAGAACAAACAAACAAACAAAAGAAATAATATGCTCGTGTTATTCGAAGACCACCATCTGAAATCCTAGTGAGCTGATTTTCAACTGCTAATATCTTAATTGTTTTTGATTCATTCTACGACAAAGGACCTACTATATTTAATAAAAGGGCCTAACTCAAAATGCTTAAACTTTAAGTAGATAACTGATAAGAAAATATCCAGCAAAGCGTATTCTACAAGATGATTTTATATTTTACTGAAAGGTAGAGAGATTTACTGAAGAAGAAAATATATTTCGCTGTATGGAGATAGATGACAGCAGGGTTGTGACAGTGGATCCTCAAATAGTGTACTGAATGTATTTTCCTTAGCGGTGGATACCTTACTGCTGATGTCAACCAATGAAACTCATGACATATTTTTTACACAAGTGAGTTGCACACAAGCAAGTATTACCATATTCAACAGAAATCCCCCAAAAGCTACAAATAACGAAATTACATTTTACCATAACCATATACTTATGCGTAATTTATCTCGCTAACTCTAGATTCGCGATTTTCATAAGTTCTGCCTTTGAAAATGAGTGTTTCACTTTTTTTTATTCAATTTGTCTTTTACATACACACACACACAGATATATATGTATGTGCAGATATTTATATAGGTATGTAAGTGCATACACACACACACATATACATATATACGTATGTATAAATATGTGTATTTGTATGTACATATATATATATATGTCTTTACTTTAACATTATATTCATAGCATACGTGAAACCTCTAGATCAGTGTTTCTCAAACGGACGGTCGCGACCCCCTTGTTTCCAGGGTGGTCACGAGCTGTCTGTGCTGAGTCAAACATTTTTTTTAAAAGTCTTCCAGGTGTTTGAGAGGTGCACATAACATCTTTCTTATGAACTATGGCGAACTGTGCCAAGAAACATCAATAATTTGTTATCCTTGTAGAGATAAAGGGGTCGCGACCCCTTGTTTCCAGGGGGGTCACGAGCTGTCTGTGCTGAGTC